TCGGCACCGCCCGCAGAACATCTGGCCAGCGGAACAATAGGCGCCGCTGGCAGACAAGGTCGCGCTATGGCGCAGGCCCAGCACGCAATGCCATGCTAGACGTGAAATGTCCAGAGGCACGGGCCTCTGTTGGTAGGGCAATAAGCACCACCCACGGGGCCACTGGCCAGCGGAACAATAGTTGCCGCTGGCCTGTCGGGCGAAAGCCACGCCGGCGGAACAATAGGCGCCGCCAGTCTGCATTTTTATGCCCGATGGATGAGCGTGCGGCCGCCAGTGGGACAATTGGCACCACCAGCGGAATCACACTAGCCAGCGGAACAATAGGCGCCGCTGGCCGACAAGGTCACGCCCGGGCGCAAGCCCAGCACGCAATGCCATGCTAGACGTGGAATGTCAAAACAAGCCCAGGCCTCCGTCGGTAGGACACGAGGCACCACCAACAGAGTCACCTGCCAGCAGAACAATAGGCGCCGCTGACGTGTCGGACGAAAACCACGCCGGCGGAACAATAGGCGCCGCCGGCCGGCTATTCTGCCCGATTGATGGGCGTTCGGACGCTAGTGGGACAATGACACCACCAACGGAACCACGCTAGCCAGCGGAACAGTAGGCGCCGCTGGCCAACAAGGTCGCGCAATGGCGCAAGCACAGCTCGCAATGCCATGCTAGACGTGGCATTACAAAAGCACGGGCCTCCGTTGGCAGGGCAACCACCAAGAACGCCACTGGCCAGCGGACCAATTGGCGCAGCTTGCTGGTGGCTATTTGCCCGATTCTCTGGCTGTGCAGGAACGGAACACTAAGCGCCGCCCCGCAAGCCGAAGTAACTGCGCAATGAGATCGGCAACTTGCAAATGGAAGCGCCCCATACTCTAGCTTGAGTGATAATTGAACTGTTTGAGCCGCTGAGGCGCGAGAAGCAAAACACTACGTCGAGGGGAGTGAGGGAAGGAGGGAGGGAGGGAGGGAGGGAGGGAGGGGCAGGAGAGCTCCTCATTTCATTTGGGCAGGGTCGAGAGCTTGGGACGTCCCGTATCTTGCAGGGCATACCGGGATTCGCAGCAACATTCGCGCGAGCATGCCATCAGTCTCGGAGGACGCACCGGGATTCGCACCAGGGACTCTCATTCGACCGCCCGTCCGACACGCGAGCCGTGCCATGAGCATTGGTGGGCCGTTCTCTTTTCTCGGCCAGAAGTTGGCCGCGGTGCACATGATCCTCCAAACTACTCACCTCCTTGATGCGAGGGGGGGGGTGGAGGGGAGGGAGAAAGGGTTTCTCTTGTCCTTGAAGAGAGGGTCTGCGTCTGTGCAGCCTCTGTGGCGCCCTGCACAGCGCCCTGCGACGGCCCGCGCCTTGCACAGCGCCCTGCCAGGGAACGGCAGGCACTCGGCCCCGCGGGGGCGTGACCCCCCGAGCCTTGGCCCAGCGACACAATTGGCGCCGACGAAACCAGGAAAGGCCGCCTGCGGTGAGTGGCCAGCACACTCGGAGCTGGCCATTCGATGGTCGTCCCCGACGTGTAAGGCACCCGCGTCTCTATATATCGCCCGTCTTCCGACAAAAAAGTTTCGCCTTCCTCCAAACAGGGTCATTCTTCGTCCCACCCCCCCTGTACGGGGAAATGCCAGACTTAGTGCTAGGGTGGGGAGAGCAACGGAGGGGGATTTCTCAGAGCGTGAATTACCTACCCCGCTTTCGCTTCCAGGCAAAACCAAGCCATACCACGCGCCTCTTCGTCAAGCGGCCTGACCAGTACAGGCTGCAATTTGGCATCGTTTGGTATCTCTTGGAAGCGAGGGTGGTCAAAAGCGAGGTAGGTTTGTTTTCCCCTTAATTTCTGAAGATTGTGGGCGCATGTCTTCTTTTTCGTCCAACATCCCCTGTAGGAGGACCGGCCCCACCGAAAGCTGGGGGGGTCCGAGGCGCCGAGGCGAGAAGTCCGCGCGCGGACCTCCAAAAGGTTCTGCTCTTGTGCTCCTCCTGTTTTGCCTCTCGAGGGGGGGGCCTCGAGGACGGCGTGCTTGATCCTCCTCCTCCTCCTCCTCCTCCTCCTCCTCCTCCCCCTCCTCCTCCTCCTCCTCCTCCTCCTCCTCCTCCTCCTCCTCACGACGCTCCTTGGCGTCCCGTTGATGCCGCCCCGCTCTGCCAGACCGCATGTTTCAACGTTTGCTTCAGGACCCCCTCTATAACTAGTAACAGACCCACGCTGGAATCCAAGAGGACGCGGGCGTCGCCACAGAAGCTCGAGCAGTGGCGAAGCGTCCTGGCTCACCCACAGGCTCACCATAGCATGTTCTAGGAACCCTCTGTGGTTTGCACGAACTGCGTTCTCAGAACAGTTCTGGCCGAATCTGCTTTGTTTTTTGTCACACCAGGCTTTTATGCTCTAAGACCATCGTCGGGTTCTTAGAACATCTCTGGGTCCTACTGGGAACAGGTCGTGGTGGGCCTTTCGAAATGCCGGGACGGTCGGCCCCTGGTGAAGACGCTGCCCGCCACAGACAGAAGGCCCCGGCCACGGCCGCGAGACCCCGTGCCCCCGGGCTGCCAGGAGGCAGGGCGCCCGCTACTGCGACTGGCGGGGCCCGCTGCCGCCCTCGGAGCAGCACGTGGTCCACTCGCGCGCGCGCGGCGGGGAGGACCAGCGCCCGCTGCCGCGCGGCCGCTGCGTGGTTTGTCGTGGTGGTCGTCGTCGTCGTCGTCGTCGTCGTCGTCGTCGCCGCCGTCGCCGCCGTCGCCGCCGTCGCCGTCGTCGTCGTCGTCGTCGTCGTCGCCGCCGTCGGCGGCGTCGTCGCCGTCGTCGGCGGCGATGCGGGAGTCGAAGAAGACAAACCTTCGCAAGCAAAATTCACTTTCGGAGGTCAAGCTGAAGAAAGAGGAGTATGCCAGTTTTCAGATCCCCCCACATTTTGCTGCTTGGGGGACGGCGTAGAATTCGAAGGTCGAGGGCATCCCCAGGTGGCATAAGTTACACAGTTCCGCCCCACAGGGGGGCGGAAAACAATTACGCGTCACTCCGGGGAGGCTACAGTGAGTCGCTGGTCATCGCGACTGCTCGCAGTACAATTCTCATCCACCTCCTCGTTGTCTTCCTCCTCCCCCGCCTCCCAGGGTTCATTTCGATCCGATCGATCCGATTCGATATCGATTACGGCTGGCTCGATCCGATTCGATTCCAATAATTCCGACGATCAGATGCGGCCCGATTCTTGGATGGTGTGGCGGTGCATCTTGGCGCAGCCGATCCGATCCGATTCCGATGCTGTGCCGACGCAGCCCGATTCGGCACGCCTTCCGGCCCGATCAGATTTTTCCCGATTCTGTTGGTTGATCTTTGCCCCTCTCCCCCCAGAGAGGAGGAGGAGGAGGAGGAGGAGGAGGAGGAGGAGGAGGAGGAGGGGGAGGAGGAGAAGGAGGAGGACGGGGCATCTCGGGAGCCGCAGCCCTCAGCGGTGCCCCTCTCCCACACCTCACCCACCCGCCTCCTCTCCCTCGTGCTCGCACCTCTCTCGCTCGCGCCCAGCCCGTGGCCCCTGGCCCCGAGCCCGTGGACCTCTCGGAGTCCCCGCTTTGTGGAGCGCCGCACGTGCCCCGCAGGCAGGCCGGAGAGCGGCGCAGCCTCGGGGCAGACACTCGGGCAGGGCCAGGGCCAGGGCGGGGTGCTCTGTCCAGCCAGGGGCCCGAGGAGGAGGAGGAGGAGGAGGAGGAGGAGGTTCGGAGCGCTCTGGGACGGCCGCGATGCCGGGTACATCTGGCAGAAGCGTCGAGTCTCAGAGATCCTCGCTATTTGCGGTAGGTCCGCGCCGCGCTGGTTCGCGGCGGCGGCCTCATAGCGCGAGCGTTCCAGGTTGAGCGCCGCCAGCGTCTCAGACTCGCAAGATATCGAGCGATTCGCGATACCCGAAAGCCGCGATCGTTCGAGGTTGCACGACCCACACGGTGTCAGAAACCAACGCCGACGGCATCGCGACGCGAACCTTAATGCATCCAGGTCCGATTCTGCCCTGGCCCCAGTTTCTTCTCCGACATGGCGGCCGCCGCGGCGGCCGTCCGCTCGGTCGCGCTCGCAGCGACGCTGCGGACTGCGAGGGCCTAGCAGTGCTACAGCGAGGTGGGCGTCGGCCAGGCGGAACCCTCAGAACGCTCTCGGCGAGGCACAGCTGCTGGAAGGCATCCCGAGGCTGGAACAGCAGCGGCACGAGGAGTAGGACAGTTCACTGCTGCAGGGCCCTAAGGTTTTGATATCTGGCCTTGTCCCACGCATCGGGGGAGAGGAGGGCCTCACAGCAGACCCTGCAGACGTCCCTGGCTGTCGGTTGGCGGTTAGGCCGCTGACCGGGTGACCAGGGTGGCCTGCGAAGCCGGCTTGAGCCTCGAGTCCCCCCTCCACTGCTCTTTACTCTTCGAGCGAAGCTCGGTCGAGGCGGCACCTCCAGAGGAGTGACGCCTGCAGCCGCGCACTGCCCCACACCTCCTCCCTGCTCCTGTGCATGATGGCTTCCACAGACGGGCAGGCGCCGAGCCCTCCACGGAACGGAACAGGCCCGAGGACTCGGCGAATGATCCCTGCGTGTGTCCCACACTCGAGCGACGCAAAAAACGGAGTCTCCTCGTCCTCCTTTTCCTCCTCCTTTTCCTCCTCCTCCTCCTCCTCCTCCTCCTTCTCCTCCTCCTCCTCCTCCTCCTCCTCCTCCTCCTCCTCCTCACGCCTTCGCCGGCGTCGGCGCGAAAGCTGCTCGCACAAGGTCGCGCGCACGCGCCCTCGCCTCCAGTGTGGCGTGCTGCGCGAGCGGCCCGCATGAGCCGCCGCGTCGGGTCGCTGCGTCATCTCGCGCAGTAGGCCCGTTTCCGATCGTCGCTCACCTGTCCCCGCGCCTGCGCTGGAAAACCTCAGGAGCTGGCGCGACTGCGGCGCCTCGGAAGCGCCTCGCAGGGCCTCCGCGGCCCCCAGCGGGCCCCTGGCGGCCCTCGGCCCTTTCCCGCGCGCAAGGAGGTGCTGCCCTCGGGGTTCGGCGGCGGCGCGCCGCAGCCGCAGGGCCGGGAGCCAGACGCGCCCCCAGGAGGCGGGGCGGCGGAGGATCAGGAGGTCTGGGGAGGAGGGCCAAGGATCAGAAGGAGAAGGAGGAGGAGGAGGAGGAGGAGGAGGAGGAGGACGTCGAGGAGGGCGAGGAGGAGGGCGAGGAGGAGGAGGGGGAGGAGGAGGATGCGCTGAGGTGGACGCCGCGTGGAGGAAGCCGCGAGGGCGAGGAGGAGGAGGAGGAGGAGGAAGAGGAGGAAGAGGATGCGACGAGACGGAGGAGGAGGAGGCTGGCCAGTGCAGACTCAAGGCGCACCAGCGATAACACTATCAACCTTCACTCCAAGCTCCCTCTTCATGTGTCCCATACAAGACACGAACTCGTGTTTTGCACTTCAGGCAGTAGCCCGCTGGAAGACGACCCTCTGGGAGTCCTCGGCCGCACCACAGCGCAACACCGTGGACCTCAGCGCCGCGAGTCAACGCTGCTGTCGGACTGCCGCGCACCAGTGGCCGCCCCTGCACGGGGGAGCTCGCCCTTGCGCGCGGGCGGCACTGCCCCCCCGGGGGCAAAGGGGGGGTCTCCACGGGCAACGCACAGGGGGAGGCCCCCCTCTCCGCGGCCCGCCTGGCGCCTTGCGCATGTGCGGCCTCCGCCAGCCTGGGCCGCCGCCTTGGCGGCAGGAGGTCGGGCATGCCCCCCCATAGGCTCAGGGGGGGGGGGGGGGGGGGGGCGCAGCGGCCCCCGACTGCCCACGGGTCGCGGACAGGGGCCCGATCAGTGGCCCGTCCCGCCCAGGAGCGTGCGGCACCACCACGGCCGGGGTGGCCATCGCCGATCTGGCAGCGATCGTCGCCCATGCGAGGTCGACGCTTCCCCCTCTGAGCCGGTCTCTCCCCTATCGTTCCCCCCTCGGTGCAGCAGGCACGTCAAGAGGGACATCGGCCCCCTATCGTTCCCCCTTCCCGAGGGGGACGGCCCGGCGTTGCCCTCCGCAGCTCCCGGGAGTGTTCGGCCCCCCCCCCCCCGGGCCTCCGCCCCGAGCGCAGACCGCCGCGGCCGTCCGCTGCTCCCTTCGCGGGCCCGCAACAGGTCGTCCCAGTCGCCACCGGAGTTGTTCGAAAATCGCGAGAAGGAGGAGGAGGAGGAGGAGGAGGAGGAGGAGGAGGAGGAGGAGGAGGAATGGTCCAGAAGACTGCTCACAGACACTTTGGGAGTGACGGGTGGGATGGATTGGGCGGTGGGACGAGTAAAGTACCAACGGCGATTGCCTCATGAGATCTTACAGCTGCCTGACTTATCATAGGGGCCCAAGCCCACAGGAACCAACGCTGAACACTAAGCAGGCACGCTTTCCTGTTCAGCGTTTAGTTTGCACGGGTATTTCGATCTCTTGATCTTACTTACAGCTGCCTGACTTACCCTAGGGGCCCTAGCACACAGGAACCGACGTTGAACACTGGGTAGGCACGCTCTCCTGCGTAGCGGTTAGTTTGCACGGGTATTCCGATCTCTCTCTCTCTCTCTCGTTCGGCTGCTTCCTTGTATGTTATGTCCAAATATGCCACGGTTAGGTGCCCCTCTCCTCCCTTCGGCTGCCTGCTCAGTGACTCGGCGCTCTCTGGGCACCTACACATTGTTCATTGTTCATTTCTAAGTATTCGAAAGTTCTTTGATGTTTTGGGGGGCCAAGATCCTTCCATTTCTTATTGTTCTATCCTGGGCCTCTTCCTGGCCATTAGGGGGCCAGGAACAGTTTGAAACGAGCACAGGTAGAAATGAACACGATTAGAAATGAACAACGTGTAATCCTCTACCATGCCTTCTTACCCTGGGTGCGCCTGCGCTGGCAGCAGCATTAGCCTGTGTGGCACATGGATGGACCGTTGTTTCTCGCACGAGCGCTACAGGCCAGCATCTTGAGCTCGCCCAGCACGAAACGGTGGTCTCGAGGGAGACGGCCCTGAGATGCTCCCCGTTGCCAGTCGACCTCCTGGGCCATGCCCTGGCCCCACGGCCGTCGCAAACGACGCGGGGTGGGACGTCGGCGCCAGGAAAGGCCCTGCGGTCCGAGACCCGTCTCCCCCGGGGCCCCTTCTTTTCTCACGCCGAGGGGGAGAGGGTGGCAGGAATCTCCATGTGCTCTATGTTTTCGAGGCCTCGTCGCTCCGCGTCGGCTGCCGCCGCGTGCGCACCCTCCCTACCTTCCCCGCTCCGCGGCCACCCCCTCCATCTAAGCAGAAGGGGGAAGAGAAGGCAGGCCCTGCCCCCCCCTCGCCCAGGGGTGACCCAAGCCTGCTGCCTTTTACCCCCTGGTTGATGGGCCTGTTATCCACCGCCACCACCATAAGTTGGAGGGAGAGGGGGTCCTCCTCCTCCACCTCCTCCTCCTCCTCCTCCTCCTCCACCTCCTCCTCCTCGTCCTCCTCCACCTTCTCCTGCTCCTCCTCCTCCTCCTCCTCCTCCTCCTCCTCCTCCTCCTCCTTGTCTTCCTCCTCCTCGTCCTCCACCCCCTTCCCCCTCCAACTTATGGTGGTGGTGGTGGAAACAGTCCCATCACCTGGCCCCTGGCAAGCGTCGGTCTCGCGCGCCGTTCCTGGAGCACCCGGAGGCACCTTGGAGGCCTTGGGAGGCCCGACGAGCGCCGAACACGTCCCAGAGCCCCCCCCCCCTCCAGACCCCCTTGAGTCATGAAAAACTCACGACGGCAGATGTTTCGCCATTTTTGGCCTCTGGGGGTCCTGCCTGGGCCTCGGGACCGTCAAAAGAGGATTCTGGATGAGACACTGGTCCCGGGGAAGGGGTCGAGGCCTCTTCTTGGCATTGCTCGGACGAGTGCATTTTCATTTTTTCGGCGAGGACCATGGAGGAGCATCCTGGATCATCGATAACAAAAAAACGGAAACGGAATATGCACGGGGCATGGACGTCCGAGCGATGGCGAGCCTTGGGGTCGGCATTACGGTGGGGGCGTTGGTTAAGGAATGCGCCCCGGAGGCTTCAGACCTTGGGGCACTCTTTGCCTGATGAGGGCGGCGGTGATATCCATGGCCAATCCACAGTTGGAGTTTGAGTTTGACTGGCTTCCAGATCCTGGATGCCTTATCCAATGGTTCCTTATACATCACGACGTCTGGGGTCGGTCTGGGCCCCGCCGCCGTCGAGGGTCGAGCGCAACACTCGGCACCCGGCCCTCCACAGAGGCCCTGGGGGCACCCTCCTCGGAGGTGGGCCGAGCGCTCCGCGCTTGGCCAGCTCGGGTGTACTCTGCTTTTTTCCCGGAAAGGGCGCGGGCCCAGGGTTCTCTTTTAGTGGGTTGACCCCCCGGTTTTGACTCAAAGGGGGCCGGCGGAATTATTTCGCGATGAAAAACGAAGTCGAAGAGGGCCGGCGGAATTAGTTTTGAGGATGTCTCGAGCGAAACGCTTGCTTTTCAGAATTTGTTGAGGATGTCTCGAGCGAAACGCTTGTTTTGTGTTATAGGTTGTCCTCTCCTGGGGACCAGAATTTAGAGGATCTCTCAAGTGAAATGCTTGGTTTCACGTGCACAGGTCTTGAGGATGTCTCGAGCGAGACGCTTGGTTTCACGCCTCCAGGTTGCCCAGGCAGAGGTCAAGCGCCAGGATTGTTGAGGATGTCTCGAGCGAGACGCTTGGTTTCACGCGTCCTCGTCGCCCAGGCGGATGTCTAGAATGAGGAGGTGTTGAGAATGTCTCGAGAGATACGCTTGTTTTCACGTGTCCAGGTCGCCCAGGCGGATGCCTAGCATGAGGAAGTGTTGAGAATGTCTCGAGAGATACGCTTGTTTTCACGTGTCCAGGTCGCCCAGGCGGATGTCTAACATGAAGATGTGTTGAGGATGTCTCGAGCGAAACGCTTGTTCCCACGTGCCCAGGTCACCCAGGCGGATGTCTAGAATGAGGAGATGTTGAAAACGTCTCGAGCGAAACGCTTGTTTTCACGTACCCAGGTCACCCAGGCGGACGTCTCACATGAAGATGTGCTGAGGATGTCTCGAGCGAACTGCTTGTTTTCACGTGTCCAGTTCGCCCAGGCGGATGCCTAGCATGAGAATGTATTGAGGATGTGTTGAGCGAAACGTTTGTTTTCACGTGTCCAGGTCGCTCGGGCGGATGTCTAGAATGAGGATTTTGACAGGATGTCTCGAGCTAAACGCTTGTCCCCAGCACGTTCCGTAGCGCGTCCCCTTGGCACGTCCTACGGTGCGACCCCATGGCACGTCCCCTGGCACCTCGCCTGGCGCGTCCCTTGAGACGTTCCGCGGCGCGTCCTCCTGGCATGTCCCCCTGTCAATCAGCTCTGGGGCAGCTTCTATGTGTTCAGGCAGCTCGAGCTTACGATCCAGATCAGTTCGGTCAGGACTCGGATGCAAAGGAGGACTCGATCCACGACGCTATAGAGCACAACCGCGGCATGGCACATCGCAGTTCAGCACTGTGCAGCACAGCACCGTCCTCGGCACGGTACATCAAGATCGATACAATCAGCATTGCATTTGCCCGTCACCCAATCAGGTGTCTTTGAAAACGCTGCCATGCGTTACATTTCTATATTCCTTTCCGGGTTCGTGGGTCGATCATGTTCCCGGAAAGGGCGCGGGCCCAGGGTTCTCTTTTAGTGGGTTAACCCCCCGGTTTTGACTTGAAGGGGGCCGGCGGAATTATTCTGCGATTAAAAACGAAGTCGAAGAGGGTTGGCGGAATTATTTGTGAGGATGTCTCGAGCGAAACGCTTGTTTTTCAGAATGTGTCGAGGATGTCTCGAGCGAAGCGCTGATTTTGCAGAGTTGCGGTGTGTCTCGAGCGAAACGCTTGTTTTTCAGAATTTGTTGAGGATGTCTCGAGCGAAACGCTGGTTTTGCAGAGTTGGGTATCTAACATGGCGTCGCGCCCAACGCCAAATTATGAGGAAACGCACGGGGGGCCGAAAAGCGCTACCCAAACACATGTCCCAATACAGAAAAGTTATGGCTTCTTGCTCTGAACATGGGGTTGCGCTTTGGGGGCTTCTCCAGGGAAGACATTGCGAGGATGTCTCGAGCGGGAGCGCGAATTCAGCGTATCTATGTCACGCAGGGGGGTATCTAACATGGCTGTCCTGAGCTGGAACCACGTGTTTTTTATTGCTCAGGCCAACCAGGGAGATCTCCAACAAGATTGTCCCGAGCTGGAACCATGTGTTTCTACGTGTCCAGGCCACCCAGGGGGTATCTAACATGGTTGTCCCGAGCTGGCACTGTGTTTTTACGTGTCCAGGCCACCAGCACGACGCTTGTCCCCAGCACGTTCTGTAGCGCGTCCCCTTGGCACGTCCCACGGTGCGTCCCCGTGGCACGTCCCCGTGGCACGTCGCCTGGCGCGTCCCTTGGGACGTTCCGCGGCGCGTCTTCCTGGCATGTTCCTATGTCAGTTAGCTCTGGGCCACTACTATGTGGACTATGTGTTCAGGCAGCTCGAGCTTAAGATCCAGATCAGTTCGGTCAGGACTCGGATGCAACGGAGGACTCGATCCACAAGGCTATATAGAGCACAATCGCGGCATGGCACATCGCAATCCAGCACGGCGCATCACAGCACAGCCCTCGGCACGGTACATCAAGATCGATCCACTCACTCAACATTGCAATTTGGCACGTTTCGTGGTGCGTCCTGTGGCGAGTCCCCCTGGCACGTCGCGCGGCGCGTCCCTTGGCACGTCCCGTGGCACGTCCATTGGCACGTTCCGTAGCGCGTCCCCTTGGCACGTCCCGCGCGGTGCGTCCCCATGGCACGTCCCCTGGCACGTCGCCTGGCGCGTCCCTTGGGACGTTCCGCGGCGCGTCCTCCTGGCATGTTCCCTTGTCAATCAGCTCTGGGGCAGCTACTAGTTATGTGCTCAGGCAGCTCGAGCTTAAGATCCAGATCAGTTCGGTCAGGACTCGGATGCAAAGGAGGACTCGATCCACAAGGCTATATAGAGCACACTCGCGGCATGGCACGTCGCAATTCAGCGCAGCGCTGCACAGCATAGCCCTCGGCACGGTACATCAAGATCGATGCACTAAGCATTGCATTTGCCCGTCGCCCAGTCAGGTGACTTTGATATGTTGCCATGTCTTACGTTTCTGTATTCCTTTCCGGGTTCGTGGGTCGATCATGCTTTCTTTGTTGTTGTTTTTGTTGTGTGTTGTTGTTGTTTTTCCCAACCATCTTGTGGTGTTGGGTCCTCGTTTTGAAGAGACGGTCCCCGCGTTCCTCCTCCTTCTCCTCCTCCTCCTCCTCGCCCTCCTCCCTCCAGGGTTCGCATGCCTCCCCACCACCCATTTCGGCACACCCCTCACACGTTTCGTGGCCTCATAGGGAGCTCCACCGAAGGCCCCAATGGCAGGGTTCGCGTGCCTCCCCACCACCCATCTCGGCACACCCTTCACACGTTTCGTGGCCCCATAGGGAGCTCCACCGAAGGCCCCAGTGGCATGATTCGCATGCCTCCCCACCACCCATCTCGGCACACCCCTCACACGTTTCGTGGCCCCATAGGGAGCTCCACCGAAGGCCCCAGTGGCAGGGTTCGCATGCCTCCCCACCACCCATCTCGGCACACCCCTCACACGTTTCGTGGCCCCATAGGGAGCTCCACCGAAGGCCCCAGTGGCCCCTCACACGTTTCGTGGCCCCATAGGGAGCTCCACCGAAGGCCCCAGTGGCAGGGTTCGCATGCCTCCCCACCACCCATTCGGCACACCCCTCACACGACTCGTGGCCCCATAGGGAGCTCCACCGAAGGCCCCAGTGGCAGGGTTCGCATGCCTCCCCACCACCCATTTCGGCACACCCCTCACACGTTTCGTGGCCCCATAGGGAGCTCCACCGAAGGCCCCAGTGGCAGGTTCGCATGCCTCCCACCACCCATTTCGGCACACCCCTCACACGTTTCGTGGCCCCATAGGGAGCTCCACCGAAGGCCCCAGTGGCTGCGTTCGCATGCCTCCCCACCACCATTCTCGGCACAGGCACACCCCTCACACGTTTCGTGGCCCCATAGGGAGCTCCACCGAAGGCCCCAGTGGCAGGGTTCGCATGCCTCCCACCACCCATTTCGGCACACCTCACACGTTCGGGCCCATAGGGAGCTCCACCGAAGGCCCCGGTTGGGTTTCGCATGCCTCCCACCACCCATTTCGGCACACCCCTCACACGTTTCGTGGCCCCATAGGGAGCTCCACCGAAGGCCCCAGTGGGTTCGCATGCCTCCCCACCACCCATTTCGGCACACCCCTCACACGTTTCGTGGCCCCATAGGGAGCTCCACCGAAGGCCCCAGTGGCAGGGTTCGCATGCCTCCCCACCACCCATTTCGGCACACCCCTCACACGTTTCGTGGCCCCATAGGGAGCTCCACCGAAGGCCCAAGTGGCAGGGTTCGCATGCCTCCCCACCACCCATTTCGGCACACCCCTCACACGTTTCGTGGCCCCATAGGGAGCTCCACCGAAGGAGCAGGGTCCCATGCCGCCTCCCCGGCCCCACCACCCATGGCAGGGTTCGGCACACCCCTCACACGTTTCGTGGCCCCACAGGGAGCTCCACCGAAGGCCCCAATGGCAGGGTTCGCGTGCCCCCCACCACCCATTTCGGCACACCCCTCACACGTTTCGTGGCCCCATAGGGAGCTCCACCGAAGGCCCCAGTGGCAGGGTTCGCATGCCTCCCCCACCACCCATTTCGGCACACCCCTCACACGTTTCGTGGCCCCACAGGGAGCTCCACCGAAGGCCCCATGGCTGCCGTCCGCATGCGTCCCGCACACCCATTTCGGCAAACCCCTCACACGTTTCGTGGCCCCACAGGGAGAGCTCCACCGAAGGCCCAAGTGGCAGTTCGCATGCGCATGCCTCACCACACCCATTTCGGCACACCCTTCCACGCTTCGTGAGCCACATAGGGAGACTCCAACGAAGGCCGCAGGGTGGCAGGGTTAGACATGCCCTCCCCACCACCCATATCGCATATTCCCACACGTTTCGTGTGGCCCCATAGGGAGCTCCACCTGAATAGGCTCCCAGTAGTGGCAGGGTTTTCGCATTGCCCTCCCACAACCCCATTCGGGCACACCCCTCACACGTTCGTGGCCCCATAGGGAGCTCCACCGAAGGCCCCAGTGGCAGGGTTCGCATCCCCACCACCCATTTCGGCACACCCCTCACACGTTTCGTGGCCCCATAGGGAGCTCCACCGAAGGCCCCAGTGGCAGGGTTCGCATGCCTCCCCACCACCCATTTCGGCACACCCCTCACACGTTTCGTGGCCCCATAGGGAGCTCCACCGAAGGCCCCAGTGGCAGGGTTCGCATGCCTCCCCACCACCCATCTCGGCACACCCCTCACACGTTTCGTGGCCCCATAGGGAGCTCCACCGAAGGCCCCAGTGGCAGGGTTCGCATGCCTCCCCACCACCCATTTCGGCCCTCCCCAACACCAATTTCGGCACACCCCTCACGCGTTTCGTGGCCCCATAGGGATCTCCACCGAAGGTCGGGGGGAGCTTGACACTGGTATCCTTGCGGTACTCGCAGCTGCATATGGTTGGGTCCTTCGCCAGGCTAATGAAACATGTTTCGCATATTCATATATACTATATACAATAAAACATATGTCCCTGGCAGCTTGATTGTTTTTCTCCCATCGGCTTGCGGGCTTCAGGCCAGATGAGTTGATATACGTGCAGGTAGATCCTGGAGATCTCCAGGAAACTCTGGAGCAGAGCGTGGACGCTCCAGAGCGAGTCGATGGCAACCGGGAGTCGTGTAGCCCCTACCCCCGTGGAGTCGAGACTCTGCAGACAGTCTGCGGGCATCAGTGCTGTTTTGCGCTTGCTGGACTGACTTCGATCAGTCTCCCTTCCGCGCTCTGCTGGCTGATCTCTTCCCTCCTCTGCGGTGCGCTGCGACGGGGCGAAGGAAGACGAAGAATCGGCGACCAGCCCTGGGGGGAAGCCAGAGGGGGCGGGCCTGCTCAGAAGGCCCGCGCGTCCTCCAGCCCACTGAGAAGAGTTCCCCAAACCTTCCCCGAAGACACAAAAACCTCCCAGAAGGCTGGGAGCCTTCTGAGAAGCCCCGCCGCCTTCGAGAAGGCCTTCTTCTTCTTCTTCTCGCTTCCCCCTCTCGCTCGCTGGCGATCCTCCGCGGTGCGCTGCGACGGTGCGACGAAGACGAAGAGAAAAAAAAGGGGAATGCTAGGACGGGGCTACAACGAGGATGAATCCGTTCCAGAGCGTTCTGGAACGCTCTCAGAGCGTTCCGGAACGCTCCGAGAAAACCGCAGCGCCCGAGGCATCTTCCAGAGCCGCGGGATCCCAGAGGTTCTCGATTCATTATCATCGGGTTTTGTCCTCGTCCAGTCCCCGAATTCTGCCAATCCCCCAATCCCCGAGTTCCGCCCGAAAAGTTTGGCCGCTCAGAAAAGGAGGGACACCCTGTGATACACCCCCAGGGGGCTATTCGGACTCACCCCTTATCGGCGATGGACATCATCCCATCGTATATCCCAGGGCTGGGTCCAAAATTGTTGGCCCATTCGAAAACACCACGATGCCTGGGATAGTGGTCGACATGTCCTCTGTCAGAAGAAAAACCCACACCCCAGACGCCATGATTTTTTCATGACGCGTCCCCGAGAGGTCCGGACCCATTCCCGGGGACCGGCTTTTCATCCTGAGTCGTTTTGTTGACGGTCCCGAGGGCCGGTGAGGGCCCCCAGAGGCCGAAAATGATGCACCCCCCCAGTCGTGTTTCTTCACCACGCGAGGGGTATGGGTTAGAAGGAGAATAATAATAATAATTAGAAGGAGAAGAAGAAGAATAATCATAATAATAATGAGAAGAAGAAGAAGAAGAAGAAGAAGGGAATGCAGATGGCGAATAAGCCGTCGAGCTTTTCGCAGCCTCTTCCGCCCCTGCGGCGCCGCCGCACGGCCAGGTCGACCGCGCCGGCGGGGCGGCCGCGCTGGCAGCGCGCGGGGCAGTGGAGGCGCCCCCGCGGGCTGCGGCAGGGGGGTCCATCGCCGAGTGGCCGCGGAACGCTCCAGGGCCAGGGCCCTTCCAAGACCCCCTCGCGTTGTGAACATAATCCCGACGGGAGGTTTTTTTACTATCCGTGAGGGCTTCGCCACATGCCGCCGGCCCCCTGTCTCGGAGAATGGGAGATGCCAAAGCTAAATGATGAGGTCTTGGCGCCGCCGTGAAGCAGTGTCGGGACTTGTTTGTTTTTCGACCCTGACCCCACGGATCTGCGTCACGGGTGCCACCGAATTTCAGAAATTTAGCAAATCCTCTGTGTTTTTCGACCCTGACCCTACTGATCTGCGTGAGGGGTGCCGCCGAATTTCAGAAATGTTGCAAATCCCTTGAGTTTTTGGACCCTGACCCTGCCGATCTGCGTGAGGGGCGTCGCCGAATTTCAGAAATGTGTCAACTCCCTTGTGTTTTTGAACCATGACCCTGCCGATCTGCGTGAGGGGTGTCGCCGGATTTCAAAAATATGGCAACTCCCTTGTGTTTTTGGACCTGACCCCGCCGATCTGAGTGAGGGTTGCAACTGAATTTTTAGACATGTGGTAAGTCCCTTGTGGTTTTGTGCCCTGACCCCGCCGATCTGCGTGAGGGGGGCCACCGAATATCAGCCCTTGCGTTTTTGGACCCTGACCACGCCGATCTGCGTGAGGGGTGCCAGCAAATTTCAGACATGTAGCAAATCCTTTATGTTTTTGGACCCTGACCCCGCCGATCTGCGTGAGGGGTGCCACCGAATTTCAGAACTGTGGCAAATCCCCTTGTGTTTTTGGACCCTGACCCCGCCGATCTGCGTGAGGGGTGTTTCTTTTTACCCATCCCAGCAATTCAGAGCATGCGCTCAGGGCGTGGTAAAAATGTCGGTTTTGGGCCTCCCCCCCTCGCGCGGTCCATCAACAAGGAACGGTAAGCAGCAAGAAGTCAACAAGGAACAGTAAGCAGCAAGAAGCAGAACTGTAGCAGTGGAAACTGGAAGCTGCCACTGGTACAGGAGAAACTGCGAACCTTGGGCCTACAGCCTGGTGGCCCCACAAGGGGGGGCTGGCGGATTTTTGTAAGCATCGAGGGCCCTCACGGGCCTCGGGGCCGTAAGAAAACACCTCGGGATGGAGCACTGTGTGAAGAGTGCACTCCCCTGCCCCTCTGCCGCCCGTGCCGCCTTGTGAGCATGATGCATATACTTTTCATGTTTTGTGGCGTGCGCGTTGCCCGCCGCCGTTTTGGCCCTAGTCCTAGGGCCCTGGGACTGCACCCGCAGTTTGACCGCCGCGCGGTCCGAGCTAAAAGAACTGCACTGACACATTGGTCCCCCGGGAGTGGGTCAGCACCTCTGGGCTTCGCGTCATGGAACAATCATGACGTCGGGGGTCTGGGCTCGAGTCATGAAGTTACTTGGTGACGCACCAACCATTTCTAAGCATGTGCCGAACATCTGTGGGACCGCTCCGCACAAGCAGACATGATGGAAGCACTCGCAGTGCGCATGAGCTCCCAGGTGTAAACAACAGCAGCACGCAGGAGTGGCATGCTGGGGACGGGGACAGGAGCACGCGGAGGAGTCTGACGGGGGGACATACGTGTTCAGTGACAGCAGCAGCGCCGAGTGCTACATAGGCGGGTCAGAGCAGCCCCGTGCGCTCTGAAGCAAAACAGCGCGTCGCGTTGGGCGAAGCAAGCGCATGGGGCGGCATGGCGGGCCACAGGCAGCTCTGGATGGGAGGCCGCGCGGGTGATAAGACAGCGCAAAAACGCGGCGTGGCGCAGCGGCTCCCTGCGAGCTGCGATGCGACAGCGCCGAGCGCGGCGTGACGGGACAGCGCCGCGCGCTATGGGAATTTTTGCCCTTTGGAATGACAGCGGTTGCACTCGGTTGCAAGTCTCGTGCTGCCCGCGCCAGAGAGGCGTTGGCGACAAACTGCCGCGAACTCGCCCAACACCGCAGGCGGGTGCTTCCGCCAGTCGTGGAGGATCTGCTCCAGGCCGAGCTCGCGCGCCACTCATTCTCTCTGCCGCGAGGAGGCCAGGGAGCCGCGACGTCTCGACGTGATCCCCATACCACTCCACTCCGCGCGAGCTCCCAGGAGCACACGAACGTGGCGACAGTGCCACACTCCGCAGCACCCCAGGGCGCCGCGAAGTCTCAACCTGGTCCACGTGTGACTTGGACCTCCCAGGAGCCCGCGAAAGGGGCGACAGGCTCACACTTTGCAGCCCCCCCAGGGAGCCACCAGGTCTCGACGGGACCCCCGTACCTCTCCACACCGCTGAACATCCCAGGAGCATGCGAAAGCGGCGACAGCCACGAAAGTGGCGACATGCTCGCACGTCGCAGCCCCCCCCCCCCCCAGGGAGCCGCGAGGTCTCAACTGGATCCCCGTGTGACCCCATCCCGCGCGACCTCACAGGAGCCCACGAAAGTGACTGCATGTTCACACCTGCAGCCCCCCATAGAGCCGCGAGGTCTCAACTGGATCCCCGTGTGACCCCATCCCGCGCGACCTCCCAGGAGCCCACGAAAGTGACCGCATGTTCACACCTGCAGCCCCCCATCGAGCCGCGAGGGCTCAGCTGGATCCCCCCGTGCCGCTCCGTCCTGCAGGACTGCCCAGGTGCCCGCGTGGCGACGGCCTCGCAGTTCGCAGCCCCCCGGGGAGCCGCGAGGTCTCAACGGGGCTGCGGCGCAGGCAGGACGCAGGGGGGGAGAAGACGAGGGCAGTGTCCGCGTGCCCTCCCACTCCGCTGGGCCTCCCAACGGGGCAGGGAGCAGGCGGCAGGAGGGGGAGGAGGAGGAGGCAAGAGGGGGAGCACGAGGGAGGTTGGAGAGCGCAGCGCTCTACTCGAAACGAGAACCCAACGCAGGAAGGTTGGGACGAATCACGACGGAATGTTTTTCTATCTGTTCGCCCTATGGGGGCCTCGGGTCCGTCGAATAACGGATCCGGATGAGGAACCAGTCCTTGGGAAGGGGTCGAGACCTCTTGGGTTCGAGGTTCTGCAACTCCTGACGTCGGGGGCTCATTCCCCTGCTCAAGCCGCGTTGGCGTTTCCCCCTCCTGCGAGCACCCCTCTTCTCCCCCCCCCGTTCCTGCGATGGGCGTGCCTGCGACACGCCCGGGGCAGCGCCGGCCCGAGGAGTGTGTGTGTGTGTGTGAGAGTGTGTGTGTGTGTGTGTGCGTGCGTGCGTGCGTGCGTGCGTGCGTGCGTGCGTGCGTGCGTGCGTGCGTGCGTGCGTGCGTGCGTGCGTGCGTGCGTGCGTGCGTGCGTGCGTGCGTGCGTGCGTGTGCGTGTGCGTGCGTGTGTGTGTGTGCGTGTGTGTGTGTGTGTGTGTGTGTGTGTGTGTGTGTGTGTGTGTGTGTGTGTGTGTGTGTGTGTGTGTGTGTGTGTGTGTGTGTGTGTGTGTGTGTGTGTGTGTGTGTGTGGGTATGTGTGTGTGTATGTGTGTGTATTTCTCGCCCGCCCAGCTGCTGCTGCTGGGACTGGGCCTCGCGCGCGTGTGTGTGTGTGTGTGTGTGTGTGTGTGTGTGTGTTGGCGCAGTGGAGTGTTAGGATGTTCCATCCTATTTTAGCCTTGATCACCAGAAAGTTTTTCGAGCACCACAAAGTACCGAAACTCGATGGGGTTTCACGTGCCGGTCCCTGAGAGACACTCGTCCGACACTGTACCGACACGGTTTCGACATCCTGTCGACATCTTTTCCGGATGCTCGAAATCAGTTCTGGGGTGGGAGCAAAATAACCTCGGTGCTCGCCGGCTGCTGCGGTACAGTCTGGCACTCCGAGGACCCCCCTGGGGGTCGCAGGCGTCGGCGCCTGGTCGGTGCGGCCGCGTCGGCTCGCTCCGTCGCGCTCGGGGGGCGCTCGGTTTTGATGCCGCCGTGGGCGATCTTTTAGCCCTGAGCCGGGAATGTCTCTGTACAGGAGGACAATTCAAAAACAGTAACAAATTGCTTGAGGTTTGGCAAGGGGGAGGTGCGCCCCCACCTGCGATCCCTGGGCCAGCGTCCAGGCTGCTTTCACACGAGGCCTCACGGCCACTCCGCGATTGTACCCTGTGCCTGGTTGGCACAACATCCCTCCTTTCTCGGTGAGCTCCTGGAGGAGCCCATGGGCAAGGATGCCGCCAAGGGCTACCTTTCTTGCCCAAGTTGCCGCTACCGCTGGAACTGGAAGACGCGAGAGCACTGCTTCTCCTGTGGAAATGCGCTGGTCCCCTCGCCACCGCCGCCGTGGCGCCAGGCCAAAGGAGTATGGTCACCAGGTGGCGAGGGTGGTGGCCAGCAAGGGCCCGCGCGCCCGCCAGGGACCTGGGCACCCAGCCGCATGGAGGCACCGCGGGTCTCGACCCCACCACAGCGAGGGGCGGGCAAGCAGCCGACAGTGGCGGAGCTCCTCACGCAGCTCCAGCAGCATGTCAAGGCGGACGCAGGGGCGCAGGAGCTGCAGGCCCTGGTCCAAGCGGTGGCGCCGCCAGCGCCTGCGCAGCCAGCCCGCCAGCCGCTGTTGGAAAAGACCATCAGTGCGAAGGGCGTGGCGTGCAGGAGGGCGGAGAAGGCCTTGGAGCACGCGGTCCGCCAGGAGGACGAGGCGCGGCGCCGGCTGGCGGAGTGCAGCCAGCGGACCCAGGAGGCGGCTGCGTGGGCGGTGCAGGCCAAGACGGCCTGGCAAGAGGAGTTCAGGACTGAGTTACAGAAGGCCCGCGGCTCGACGCCTGGTGCGGGGCCTCCGCCTGAGGCGGTGCATGTGCCGACGGGTTCCCAGATCAACCTGTCGCAGCTGCTGGGGGAGGAGAGTGGTTTCGATGGTGTGGAGATCATGGACGGCGAGGCTCTCGACCTCAGTGAGCTCGAAATCGGAGACGAGGACAAGCAGCGGTGGCTTGCCCTCAAGAGCAACATGGCGGTTGAGATCCAGAAGGCAATCGTGGCTTCTCTTGCGGAAGCGCCTGTCGGCCAAGCGTGCCCGCCAGTCCGACAGTGGAGATGGCACCAGCGCCGCCGCAGCATCCCAGCCTGGAACGCCACCCCCAGCGGCACTTGGGGCTCCTCCTGCGGCTGGTGCTGCCGCTGTTGGTGCTGAGCCTGCAGGGCCTGGGTCGGCCACGACACCCACCGGGGGAGCCGACACCCCCAGCACCCAGGAGCTGCAAGCTGCGGTCGACGCGGCCAGGGCCAAGTTGGCCGAAGGCGGTGGGTCGGGGCTTTAGGGTTCAGTGCGACGGTTTTTCAGGGACCAGCTGTCAGGCAGGCGGCGCGGAGATTTTTCGGGGCTGGCGGCCCCTGGGGAGCCCGTTGAAGGGCAGACCCTAATGGCAGGCAGCGGGTCCTGGATCGATGCCGCAGACGTGCGGGTGGTCGACGCCTTCGATCGGATCCAGCCTCCACCTTGGGCTGCAGACGCGCAGGTGGTCGATGCCCCCAGGTGGAGCGGCCTAGCCCCCACGCCGCAGGCGAGGCGGTGGCGCGCAGGTCGGGGCTCGGGGGGAGCCTGGGGGGCAGACCCCAAGGCAGGCAGCGGGCCTCCCCACGTGCGGCTCGCTTTCTCCCCAGTCCCCTCTGCAGACGCGCAGATCGATGCCCCAGGTCGGCCTTGCCCCCTCACCGCAGTCTGTTTCCTCCCTGGGGAGCCCGCTGGAAGGCAGACCCTAAAGGACGGCAGCGGGTCTTTGATCGATGCCGCAGACGTGCGGGTGGTCGATGCCTTCGATCAGACCCAACCTCCTTCCTGGGCTGCAGACGCGCAGGTGGTCGATACCCCGGGTTGGAGCGGCCCTCCACCCACACTTCGATGGGATTTCCAGCTGGTCAGCTACAACAGCAATTCGTGGTCTACGGCTCAGAGTCACATGGAATGGGCTCGGAACGGGAAAGAGACTGTGTACGGCGCCTTACTTTTTCAAGTATATAGGATGGAACACGAACAGACCAAAGCGGCTCGCAGGTGGCGTCACAAAGCTGGATACATGTCATGGTTCGCGGAGGCGGCGCGAACGGGAGCAGGGCGCCGCGAGACGTCTGGAGGGACGGCTATCCGATGCAAGGCACATTTTGACAGCAACGGCCACGGGCAGAGCTGCTGGTCTGAGAGGCTCCGCACGGTCAAGATCATGGTGACCAGTCTTCCCCGTTCCTTTTTGCCCCCTGTAGGCCACACCAGGGGGAAGGAGCTCACGGCGCTCCCTCCCTCCGAAGCCCCGCCCGACGCCGCCGCGATTCGGCCAGGCCGCTGCAAGACCTGCTGGAGGAGGTTGAGGAACCTCTGCTAGCGCGACTGTCGGTGGCTGAACTTTTCAGGGCCTAGAGGGCCCCAGTCGTGGGGACTTCGTGAATGCCATCCAGCGCGTAGTTGACAGTGGAGTGCAGCAGGAGACAGCGGAAGGCCGAAAGAAGTGGAGATCGCGGGCTCAGTCGTCGGTCGGTCGCGGAGGTCGGGCGGCTCACAGGTGCTCGAAAGGCCCCGCTCAGCCTCCTTTGCCAGTCCTTGATGACGAGGATTTCGCTGAGCAAGTGGGAGGTCCCAGGCCGCTTGTAGGGCAGGCGGACTAGATCGCATTTTGCGAGATTGGACCCCGATCTGGACCAGCCCAGCGCGGGGCGCTGATGAACCTGATCGGCTTGCCCTGAAGTTTGGTGCGGAGCTATGTGGATGCCCGTCCAATGTTGTCCTGATGTCCAAAGGCATGCTCCATGTCGCGCGCCTGCTCCTTCTGTTCATTAGTAGGGCGGAAGGCCAATATGTGCAGGAAGGCAGGTGGGACTATGTCGGAGCCCAGGGGCTCACAGAGATCTCCCTGGAGGGGAGATCCGACTTTGAGGAGGCCCTTGAGGCGGTGAGGAGGCAGGGGGGGGGAGGTGCCGAGGGTGCTACTGCTCCTGCTCCTCCTCCCGAATATCCTCAACAATCCTCGGGGCCTCCCTCTGAGCCCTTGGTGCCCGAGCTGCTGGCGATGGCAGGCCCCTGCTTTCATCGGAAGGCACGTGTTGCTGCCATTCGTGGTTGAAGATAACCAGCCCCCCATCTTTTTTTTGTTCGACCTGCGGGGGGTATGCCACGGTGTCTGCGGGATCCAGAGGCCTGCGTAAGGGCTGCGGAGGGTCCCAGCAGGACTGGGTGGACCCAGATAGGAAAGACTCTCGAGCAGTCTGTAAGGGCAAGCACCCCAGCAGGCCTCTCAAACTGGGCTCCGGGCGATCTCCTGGGGCCCGGGTGCGAGAGTTGGTGGGGCGGCGGGGGGGGGGGGTCCCGGTGTCCAAGAAGGCCCAGATTGGAGCTGGAAGGGTGGCCAGAGCCACTTCGGACCATCCTGCACGTGCAGGTTCGTGCCTGGCTGATGTCCTACAAGCGTTCGGACCTAATGAGTTCGAAACCGCCGAGTTGGGACTGAGGCGACGTGAACGAGGCCCAGACAATGATCTGGAGTACGAAGAACTGGGCGGTTAGATACCCAGGGGGGGCCCTGTCGCTGGCCCCTGGCAGGTCTTTGGCTTTCCTGCCAGGGTGACAAAAAGTCCCCCTCTGATGGGCCCCCCTGGGTTTTTTTGGACCGTCGGATTTTCCCCCACCCCTTTTCCCCTCAGTGGCGTGCGATCCCCCCTCCTCCTCCTCTCCTCCTCCTCCTCCTCCTCCCCCTCCCCCTCCTCCTCCTCCCCCTCCCCCTCCGCATCCCCCGCACCTTCCTCCCCCTTCCGCCTCTCCTCCTCCTCCTCCTCCTCCGCTTCCGCCTCCTCCACCTCCGACTCCGCCTCCGCCTCCCGCCCCATACTCCTCCTCCTCCGCCTCCTCCTCCTCCGCCTCCGCCTCCTCCGCCTCCTCCGCCTCCGCCTCCTCCTCCTCCGTCTCCTCCCCCTCCTCCTCCTCCCCCTCCTCCTCTTCGAAGGTGCATTGGGGCCCTCGTTCGATTCCTCCGAGAGGGGGTCGGAGCAGAGGGGGATCGGAGGGCCGAGAACCCCCCCGCGTTGAGAAACAATCGCGGCGGCAGGTTCTCTCAGATGGCCTTCGTCGTCCTTCAAGAACCTCTCACACCCGACTTCTCCTCCTCCTCCTCATCATCATCATCATCATCATCCTCCTCCTCCTCCCCTTCCTCCTCCCCCTCTTCCTCGGCCGTTCTGGCCCGGGTGTTTTGGGCTTGGTGCAGTTGTCTTCAGAACGGCGCCGCTGCGCCGGGCTAACTTGGTTCGTTCCAACCAGTCTGCCCCAGAAGGAGCAAAGTGAACCACGAAGCAGATCCAGGCGCCGCGACGGTGGCGCCGCCCCAGCCAGCGGCGCTCCGCGGCCCGAGGCGGCCGCTTTGGACATGCGGCAGGTGCTCAGCAGCGGCGAACTGGGCATCGAGAGTTATATGCGGATGTGGGAATGAAGCGCCACTTCGGATCAGGAAGGCTGCGTGGGATGTGCACAACAAGCTCATCCATGGCACGGGCGGCCAGCCCCCTCCGACGTCGGCGAAACAGAGCAAACAGAACCATAACGACACGACCAAGAAGATGGCGGCAAAGGTGGCGGCGGCACGCCCCCGAAGTCAGCGGCAGAGGCACCACGTCCATGGAGCAAGGCGGTGCCGCCCACAAACGATACTTGGAGCCGATCAAGCAAGAGGATGATGACAAAGTCAAGCGTGAGAAGCTGGCCGCACAGCTCTTGCAGTACGAAACGGCTCTCAAGACTCCCCCTGGTCAGGATGATGATTCCATCCGCGCGGCCACGATCGAGAAGGTCAAGGGCATCAAGGAGCAGCAGCGGGCGCTGCGCACACCTGAGATCGCGCACAGGAGGACGGCTCAGGACTTGCACAAGGCACGCGCTGCTCGAGACAAGATGGAGGCAGAGATTGCTGAGAAGCCGGAGCAGCTGGCGAAGCTGCAGGAGTCTCTGGCGACGCGCAAGGCGCAGCTGGAGGCAAAGAAGATCGAGATCGACACTCTCGATGCAGGGTACAAGCGGACGGCAGCCCTCATCGCAGACGGCAGTGCGGCAGCTGCGGACGGTGGTGGCGCCAATGACAAGGAAATCAAGCTGGAGGTGCAGCCTGAGGAGACCGAGGATCCCGAGTTACAGGCCTTCTTACAGTCAGAAAAGTGGAAGAAGTTGCAGGCGATCATCACGGGTAAGGTCAAGGCTGCAGGTGCTGCTTTTAGCGGCAGTGATGATATTCCACTGCCTCAGTCCCCTGAGACAGGCAAAGGAGAGGGAGAGCACAACGAGCCCGTCAAGCGTGCCTTTGACGAGCTCTCAGAGGAGGAGACCAAGCTTCTCTTCGAATCCAAGGGTGACTACGCGACGTTCCAGGGCAAGCTCAGGGAGATGGCCAAGAAGCAGCGTTATTCCTAATGTTGATGAGATGCACTCCGGTTTTGCGAATATACGGGCGTCTGGACTCCCACTTTGCTTGGGTAAGTCGATAATAATTCAGCAGCCTGAGTGCCAAGGAATATACACGTTCGAGTCTTTCAATGCCAATGGTGGCCGTCAAACTTTGAAAGACAAAATCACCCGATCCAAGGCGCACGTGATGTTGGTGCAAGATTGGTTACCACAACGATTCTATTGAGGCATTATACACACGGACTGCTGCTAGGGATGGAAGGCGATGGTACTCCCAGGCATCCCCACGAAAGGAATCACATCGGCAGGGGTGGCGATCCTGGCCCGCAGTGATTTCGGGCTCAGAGCGCATCCCGAATTTCCTCACGAGGTGGTACCTCATCGGCTCCAACATGCAGTTCCAGATGTCCCAGGATGGCCAGCGATATCGGTCATGAATGCGCACCTCAAGGACACCATCGGCGCCACGGGGGTCAATGCAGCGCTGCTGGCGCAGATGGGTTCTATTTTCAGTAGGATTACTGGGTCATGTCTTGCAGGAGCCGATTGGAATATGCAAGTTGATGAGTTGGAGACTTCAGAGTTTCCCCGCATGGCAAGTGTCACGATGGCGGCACCGAAGCAGATCACATGCCGAGGGGGAATGGGATCGACAGTCAGTGATTACTCCGCGGTGAATGATGTGCTCCTGAGAGGGTATCGCGGAGTTGAAGCGGATATGGCGTGGAGCAAGAGACCTCACAGGCCAGTGAGGATGAATATTGTTGATAACGGAATGAAGGTACAGCACTTTGTGTGCACGGTGACGCCGACGCTGCCACAGGATCAGATTATTGGACCGCGCAAGCAACCGGCGGACTGGTCTACAATCAAGGCGTTGGCTCAAGCATGCACGGAGATTGCTAACGATGACAACTGCGACGTGGAGGTGGTGTGGTTTTTCATGTCCAGAGTGTGGGCCAAGTTCGCTGTGCAGGCTGCGATGGACATCGCCGATGCGACGGGTACAGACCTTCGGGAGCCAGACGCGTTTGGTTGTAATCTTCGGCCTCGATGGGTGGATGTAACGTATCAAGAGCAAACAGAGACCAAGGTTAAAGCTGAGGCCGAAGGTTGGCAGTGGCTTTCGCACCCAATTGGCACCATCCTGCAGTTGTATCAGGGCACGAAGCAGATGGAAGAGTGCTCGGCGGAGATAAGCAGTTCCTTATCAATGGAGTACTGCGGTCAAGGTTTAAGTGGGCGCCTTGACAGCACGGTGGCTCAGGCCAGAAGCGAGGTCGGAGCCATTCCCATGGATTGCGGTCGCCTGGAACAGTTTCTTAACGACATATGTGACGATGTGGAGCATGCCCAGAAAGCACTTGGACGAGAAGCTGACCGCCAAGGGGCTGAATGGTGCATCGCAGCATCGGCCAAGGGGGCGAGGGCTCTCCACAGGGTGACCACGGTAAAGGCGATACCTACTCCAGTGGTGGTGAAGCATGGACTTGTTGTTGCTGGCGACCCTGTCACAGTCGCGAGGAAGGAAGTTGAAGACTATAGGAAGCTTTGGGCTGCATCGGACAAAGCACCCAAAGCATGGGTCCCTGACAGAAGTTCGTGCCCACGACTATCGGCTGCAGAGATTCGGAGAGTGGTCAACACCTTCCCGGAGGGCACGGTATCGTCGTTTGATCACTTTCACCCGCGCCATGCGCTGCTGCTCGGGGGTGAGGCATTGGATGTTTTATCTACGATATGGCAGTCAGTGGAGGCGATAGGGATGTTGCCCAAGCAGCTTTGCTGGATACAGATGCCTATGCTGCCCAAAGCATCGGGGGGCAACAGATTGATCATCCTATACGCGGGCATGTATCGGATATGGCAACGAGCACGTCGATGGATGATAAGTGGCATTGCTGAGTCGCTCGAGCGCAAGTTTTGGGGAGCTGGAAAAGGAGGGTCAGCTATCGATTGGGCGTGGCTGCAGGCGGCAAGAAGTGGAGCTGATCGTTCTGATGGTATGCACTCGTGGATGTGGGTGGTAGACTGGTCCAAGTACTACGAGTCAGTTCCTCTGCGTGAGCTAAAGTACAAGTGTTTGCGAGTTGGCATCCCGACGCGCTGGCTAAAGTTAGTCATCAACACATGGTGCGGACCACGCATCATCAGGAGTGGACGACGCCATGCAGTTGAAGCGCTGCGCGCAACGAATGGCCTTCCAGCTGGAGACGGAAATGCGGACGTTGTTATCAAGATACACGCGGCCTTTGAATTGGACTCTTGCGTATCACGTTGCCCGACAGTTGACTTCCTGAACTACATTGATGACAGTGCAATCGGAAGCAGCTCGAGAGATATCACCATCGCAAAGGGCACGACTGCTGAGTCCATGCGGGAGTTCAGGCAGACGTCGAATGAGTTGAATGCGTTGCTCAACTTCGACAAGGCGTCGCTGATTGGATCGTCTGGGGGGCTGGGCCATGCAATATGTGAGGAACCTGGAGTACCTCGCAGCACATACAAGACTAGCGTCACATATCTGGGAGTGGACGAGAGTTCGGGAGCCCAGAGATCTGCTAGGGGGGCCCGCCCTAAGCAGCAGCGTAGGTTTATAAGCGCTAAGCGCAGAACAGGTAAAGTTAGAGGCTTCAAGAAGGGCTTTAGAGGCTGTAGCACATAGGCCCCCTTCGTTAAGATTTGTCGGTCGGGAGTCTCACCTGCTAGCAGCTTCGGTGTTGAGATAAATGGTCTAAACCCGGGGGAATGGATTGCCCATCAACGGCTCCACAGCAGCGCTACTTCCCCATCGCACGGAGTAGTAAGTGTAGTAATAATAGGTAGTTTAGTAGTAGTAGTAGTAGTCGTAGTAGCAGTAGCATAGCGGTAGTAGGTAGTAGCGGCCGTAGAAAGTAGTAGTAGCTAGGCCCGTAGTAGGGCAGGAGGAATGGACAGGAGGAAGATAGAGCAAACAGTAGAGTTGTTGCAGAGGAGGCTAGAGAGTGGAAACGGAGAGTCCACGAGTAACCTGGCAGCCAAGCTAGGTCACCCTCCTGGGCACAGGGCAACTCTGGACCTTATACGGTCCAGACTGGGGCCCAAGGCTCGAGGGTTGAGCACGATGGCCGAGCGTTTGATCAGGAGCTGTGGGTGCAATGGAGTGTGGGCTGCTGATAGAGGTCGCTTGGCGGGGTACGAGACGGACGCGCGGCGCGCGTGCGGGCAAGTAGACACCCCACCACAGGCTCTACGCCTGTTCCAGGCCTGATGTAGAGCAGGCCCGAGCAGAGCCCGAAGTTCCTAGTCTGTTTTTGGAGGCGGCTCGCGCTGGGCCACATTTGGAAATCTTCAGTCGTGGAATTTACGTGCACCCAGAAAGCGAGCTGCCGAAACCGTCCACGCCAGCTGAGGTGGACATTTTTGATGTTTCGGGTGCACCTCTGGACAGGGGCCCTGAGCAGCTAGCAGACTTGTCGGACGAGCCTGTTTTAAGAATGGTGTCTGATGGGTCCTGCTCGAAGCCCCCCTGCGCGCGCTCCAGCGAGCGGCGTGGGCGATGGAGGTGCTCCCACCGAGCGGGGCTGATCCTGTTCCAGCATGCGTGATGCGTGGAATCGTCCACGGACGTTTTCCTCAGACACTTGCAATGTCTGAGCATGTAGGTGTGGCGCTCTGCGGCCAGGTGGCACAGACCAGCTCAGCTGGGCGTCGACTGCATGTCTGCGATAAAGCTCGCGCAAACAGGGTTGGCACAGCAGCTGACAGCGCGCAGCAAGCTTGCAGGGAGAAGGAAATTTGCTCACACGCTTGAGGGCGCAGCGTTCATACAGGAGGTGCGGCATGTCAAGGCGCATCGATCTCAGGATTTGATTGACTCGTTGGAACAGAATGAGCGAGAATACGCAGAGGCCAATCGCACTGTTGACCACCGTGCGAAAGAGGCCGTCCGAGCTCACCCGTCTGCCGACCCATCCTTCTTGCAGGAGTTAGAGGTGGCCGTGGAACGTGCTGCCCGCTTCTGTAAGCTAGCTGCTGCCGTTCTTCCGTTATTTGAGGTCACGCCTCGGTGGAATAGGAACACCGACGTCTACCGCCGCAGGCGACGGACACATCGAGTGCAACAAGAATGGCATGTTTGGGCCGACGGACCTGCAGGCCTCCGATGTTCGAAGTGTTTCAGTCTTGGGGGTGAGGACCGAACGGATCTTCCCCTCAATGGCTGTAAAGGGGTCCCCCCCAACATCAGACCGCTCCTCAAGGATCCCAAGGGGCATCTCGTCATCGCGGCTGGGCTGTCGGCTCGAGCTTCGAGTGGCGTTGGTCAGAAGGTCCTTGAGAAGCAATTTTGGGTTTGTTTAAGATGTGGGGGGGGGGGCCAGGGTAGAGCCCTAAAGCTTGCTCAGTCGTGTATTTTGCCTGGTCAACACCCCGCCAAGAAAGGCCAGGAGGTTATAAACCGCAATTCCCAGGGGAGGCCACCGAACCGTTTAGAGCCCTCCTCGGTCGTAGCGTCTTCCTCCCTCGGTACCCCACGGTTGAGACGTTGGCCCCCTCGGAGTCTAATGCGGTCCCTGGCTCGACGGAGGTGTCCAGTTCGTTCTCAGCCTCAGGGGTTCCCTCATATGAGCAGCGCGTGGCTGCCCTGATTGAGAGAATTCGTTTGAAGGAAGCCTCTGAAGGCCAGTAATTCCTGTCGTTTCGTTTTTGGTGCTGTGCATTTTCCCTTCGGATCCTTCCATTCCATTCCATTCCATTCCATTCCTCCTCCTCCTCCTCCTCCTCCTCCTCTTCCTCCTCCTCTTCCTCCTCCTCCTCCTCCTCCTCCTCCCCCTCCTCCTCCTTCCCCTTCTCCTTCCCCTCTCGCCTTCCCCCTCCGCCCCCCGCCCCGTCTCCGAGGGCCCTCGCTAGGCTTCGGGCCCGTCAGAAAACGAATCGGGACGAAAAACCGGCCCCAGTGAAGGGTTCCAGACTTCTGAGGGTCGACGTTAATCAACAAAACCACGACGTCGGGGGTCGGAAGATGG